CGGGCGGGCGGGGCGGCGGCGGGGCGCGCTTACCGGCGTGTCGAAGGAGAAGGCGCACTCGTCCTTGTGGACGCGGTCGCCGGCCTTGGGCACCCGGATGGACGGCAACACCGACAGCAGCGCCTCACTCAGCTCCGCCATGACAGCGGCTCACCGCGGCACCGCCCACAGCCCCGCCCCGCCCAATCGCAGCCCAGCGCGGTCAGGCGGCTCCTAACCAATCGGCAACGAGGCTGGAGGCCGGACCCGCCGTGCGGACCCGCGGGCTCGCCCAATCGCAACCGCCCTCCGGCCATCGCGGGAGGCGGTGCCGGGCTCCTCCACCAATAACGGCGCACGGAGGGGCGAGGGGGCGGGCCTGCCTCCGGAGATTGACAGCGGGCCGAGGCGGGACGTGACGGGCGGGGACTGCGGAGCCGCCGGGCCGGCGGGGCGGCACCCCGGCCGCGCCCCGCAACAAGCACCTGGCGCACGTCAGCGACCCCCGCTCCCCCACCGCCGGCATCCTGCGCACCCCCATCGAGGTAGGCGCCCTCCCGCCGCCGCCGCTCCCCCCCGCGCGGCCCCGGCCCGCCGCCCCCACGGCTGCCCTCTCCGCAGGTGGTGAGCTCCCCGGCGGGCAGCCCGCAGCCCAGCCCCGCCGCGCCGCCGGCGGGCACCGGCCAGCAGCGGGACCCGCGGTCGCCCACGCCCGGTATCTCCCGCACGCCCATGCGAGCCGTGTCGAGTGGTGAGTGCAGCCGCCGGGGCGGGCGGGAGCGGGGCTGCCCGGCCCGGCCTGGCGGCTCAGCGCGGCCCGCTCCGTCCCGGCAGACAGCGTGGACCGCCTGGTGAAGCAGCTCAGCGAGGCCTTCGGCGCCGAGGCCGCGGGCCCCGAGCCGGCGCCTCCGGGAGAGGCGGGCCCCGCCGCGGAGCCGGCCCGGCGGAGCTCCCCGCCCGCGCCGGGAGAAGGGGCGGAGAGGCCGCCCTCGGCCTCGCCCTGCACGGCCCGGCCCGGCCGCCCTGCCGGGCACGGCTTCCCCGCGGGTAAGTGCTCGGTGTGGCGGTGACAGGGCTCCGGGTGGGCTGGGGCAGGTCGGGGCTCTCGGCACCGTCTGGTCCCGGCGCCTTCTCCAGGCGAGCTCCCCGATCCTGTCCCTGCCTCTGCTCTCTGGGAACTGCGGTGTTATCAAACAGATTTCTCTGCCGGGATGAGAAGTTGTTTCTAACCTGTACTCAAAATCAAGAGGTATACGACAATTCTTCCCCACTCTGAAATGGGCTTGTGACTGTGGAGACCTGTCCAGAGGGACCTTACAGCTTCTCCTTGTGAGGAGCTGTGGGGCAAGGGTGGGCAGCACATCTCTGTGCTAAGGCTGAGCAGTGCTGAGATTCAGTCTGACTTTGATTCAGACTGCGCTTTAGAAAGCTCTGGGCTGAGCACTGCTCCTTGGAGGAGTGACTGAGGGCTGTTCAGCCTGCAGAGGAAAATGCTCAGGGGGTATCTTGTTAATAGATACAAATACCTGAAGCAAGGGTATAAGGAAGGGAGAGCCAGGCTCTTTTCAGCGGTACCCAGTGATGGGACCAGAACGGTACACAGGAAGCTCCTGAACATCAGGAAACACTTTTTTTTCACCATGAGGGTGACCAAGCAGTTGCTCAGAGAGGTTGCAGAATCTCTATCCATTGAGATATTCAAGAGACAGCTGGACATGGTCCTGGACAATGGGCTCTAGGTGACCTTGCTGGAGTAGGTCTTCTAGAGTTCACTTCCCACGTCAACCTTTCTGTGATCCCTTTGCCTCAAAGCCCTTGGGTAAGTCTTTGAAAAAGGCCAGGAGGCATTTCAAACCCAGGACCTTTGAGCCTTGTCATGATGTGCTGATGTGTTTCCTTTTGTCAACTAGTGAGCAAGCCCATAAGACACAAGCCCAACAACAAATTCATGACGACATCTGGAGGAACTGGCCGCTCTCCCCTCAGCATTCTGCAAGATGATAATTCTCCCAGTTCTCCTGCCCCTCGCCAGGTAAAGCTTAATGGTCGTGCTGAGGGAGGGAGACTGAGCTGGAAAAAAAAGCCAAATCCTTCCATTTCTGTATCTTGTAGGGTCTGAGTTGAGAATTGTGGCTTTCTAGGCCTGTAGAGACTAGTAACTTCACAAATGTTTTTCTGTGGGTCAGTCTTGTTACTGAATGCCTCTGAGTCTTGTTCAGTGTCTGTCTTTGGCCTTACTGTGAAACTGCCCATGTCAGTGCATTCCTTCTCTCTGGGCTGTAGAAAAAAGTCACTCTTGTACGTTGTCACAAGGGACTCCAAGCTGAATGGCCTGAAAGTAGGCTACATATTCTGCTGAGAATTAACTAACCTTCCATTAACTTGTATTTTACACTCCGTGTTTGGGTTTTTTATTTCTCTAGGGCAAGAGGCACGTGTTGGGAGAGAACCTTGGGGAGAAGAAGGAAATGGATCTGAGCAGGAGCCTTAAATCTGGGAACTGTGCTTGGAGTGACTTGAACAAGGAGAACCAGCAGTGTCCTTTTGTGGAGAACTAGACATTTCTTTTTTCAGCATCTTGCTGTAATTTGCTCCTATGTTTTGAGAATTTACTAGAGGGAAGAAATCCTACAATAGACTGAAACCCCAAAGCAGTGGTCACATTTCTCACCTATTCCTGTTGGGGAAAGATTTCTCCCTCCTCTTCCTAGCTTGTCATGTCTAGTGTACAGCACAGACTTTTGTCTCTTTTATTGTATGTCAGCTGTACTGGTTTTTCCATAGAGTTTTTATCTCTAGTAAATAAATTTGTGTTCAACCTTTGCTGGCTGTATGTCCTGATGTTGTGCTGGCTCAGCACAATATTTTCTTTGGGACAAGGGCTCAGGAAGAAATAGTTCAGCCTTCCATTGGCCTTAAAGCTGGCTTGTCCCCTGCCTGGAGCATGCTGAAGGGTATGGCCTTGAATCCATGTACAACAGCGTGAGCTGGGAATCTGCAGCTCCCTGCAGGAAGCTGACGTCTATCCAGTGTCACCTCTGGAGCTGTACTGCTCCTACACTGACCTGAAACTGAGTTATGCAAGGGTCTGTCGTGAGGGTGAGATCCAAAATAACGTGAGAGTATTGTCCATTAATATTGACCTTCTGCTGATAATTAAATAAACCTTGTTGATCTCCAGCTCTCCCAGCAGAGCCTTGGGCCCCCCAGGATGTTGCTCTGAGCCAACAAGTGGAATAGGGGCTGGAAAAAATGGTTGTGTAACTGAGCTAAAATATCCAAGCTTTGAAAGGATGCATTTTCATCTCGCTATCCCAACTCCAGCGTGTGAGGAACAGCCTCCCCTGGGGATGTGAGCTAAAGCAAGGTCTGTGGATGAGGTGTTGACTGGTTGAGACCAGCAGGCAATAGTCACAGGAAAGGAGTTCTGTTTGCAGTAGCTCATTGCAATGCTGGAAAGAACACAGCCTGCAGTGCTTCTGTGAGCTTGCTTTATTTGCCTGGGCTATGAAGATCTAAACAGACTTGAAAACATGGGCTGATGGCTACTGGTTAGACAGGGTCACCACACAATGGAGGAGTGAGGCAAAGAGGGAAGGAACAGCAAGAAGCAGACAACAAATAAGAATAAATATAATATTCCCTGATATTCTGGCAGGTCTTGAGGGCTACCTTTCTGCCATATATGCATAGATAAGTCTTGAACTAACAAAAGAATAAATGTATTCCCTGCTATTCTGGCAGGTCTGAAGGCTGCCTTTCCTTTCCCCCCTTTATGCATAGATAGGACTTGAGCTAAGTGTTCCCCCATGAAAATGAGCCAAATTTATTCTAGCTTTATGTTTGAGGTGGTGCCATAGAAATCTCAAATCCAGCGTGTCTCTGGGGCTGTCTGCATGGGTACAAGGACAGCTGCACAGAGAAGTTAGGCAGAGTTAAAGCAGGGAGAGAGCTTAGTCTGGGGTGGGTGTTGCATGAGGGGAACTCTGAAGGAGGAGGATGGGTATCGGTGTGGGTAGAGGTGTTTGGAGGAAGGTGCAGTGTGTCTGAATTGTACTGCAAAGTCCTGAGACATAAAGAACAGCTCTTCAAGCCTGCACAAGGCTGGAAACTGCTGGGGCTGTTTAGAGGTGGAGAGAAGGGCCAGTGCATTTGCTCCTGCTCCCCAGCTCCCCCAGCTTCTCCTCCCTGATCTCCTTTCACTCTGGGAGACTCCTACAAGTGACCTGTGTCTAGAGACAAGTGGGAGTGGTAGGTAGGCATTGCTGCTGTGCTCAGCTGATGATGCTGTTTTGCATGGGCTCGGGCTGTGGGCCGTGCTTCCGCTGCTCTTCCCCTCTCTGCTGCCGTCCTCAGTTCCAAATCTTGAGGAAACTGTCCCAGGAGCCAGTGGCAACAGCCATGCCGTCCGCCGTCACCCCCAGGCAGCTCACTCTGTTGTCGTGGCCAGAAAGGATCCCTGTGGCAGGAAAGAAGAGAGCTCAGGAAGCGAAGGGGGCCTGTGAGAGGTGACACGGGCGGCCCTGCTGAGGACACGCGTCACCGGCTGTGCCCTGTGTGGCCCTGTCTGTCCCTGCACAGCTGCTTACAGTCTGCACGTGGAGAACAGGAGCCAACACGCCAAAGAGCTTTTGTGTGTGCTGCACAACCACCACACAAGGGGCTCTTGGGAGGGTATGGCCAGCTGAATCCCCACACAACTGCTTTCACCCTGGAGTGACGCTAAGACTAAGGTAGGATGGGGTCCTTGGTAAGGTTGAGAAACAGCAGTGCTGTTGGTGGGCTGTGTTTCATGACTTTTCAGAGGGTAAGGGCCACGTCTGAAAGAAAAATGCTGTGCTCTGTGTACGAGCATGGCAGAGTACCCAAAGATGTTGGATGGAAGCCCAGGTGCACGCCTGGCTTGGTGCCTGGCCACCAAGTGGCACTGTGAGTACCTGGAACTGGCAGACTGGGAGGAAGCAGGATGTCCTATTGGTGGCTGTGAGCAGTTTTAGCTAATGGGAACCTTCTTCTCCCCCTTGATTAATGTTGTTTAAAGGCTCGGCTTCCTTTACATTAAAAACAATTTCTCTTCTAGGCCAGTGAGAGTTGTCCTAGTTCCGGTGTGCTCCCTAAGCACGAGGGAGCTCTGCTGGGTTTCAGTATAGGATGTCTTCCTATGTTTAGGGAAAATAAGTGCCTTATTATCCCTAAGGCAGGGAAGGAAAGAGGGGCCTCGAGGAGCCACTCACCCACGCGCTCTGCTTTCAGGGAGTCCCAGATGTTGCAGTTGAAGTCGTCGTAGCCGGCAAAGAGGAGCCGCCCGCTGCGGGAGAGGGCGATGGAGGTGATTCCGCAGATGATGGTCTCGTGGGAGTACATGATGAGCTCCTGGTCCGCCCGCAGGTCGAAGAGGCGGCACGTGGCGTCGTCGGAGCCGGTGCAGATGGCTTCGCCGTTAGGGAAGAACTGGGGAGGGCACACACCGTGTCTTAGTGAGCATTTCCTCAGATCCCGATGGAATTCCTCAACTCATCACCCCTCTGATAACCACCAGGAAGCCACGGAGGCAGGAAAACCTGGTGGGACCAGACACTGGATCATAAAATTTGAGTCTGCTGAAGGTGGAAGACTGATTCTTCTCCTAAGGCCTAATAAACCCTTTCCACTCCAAGAAAACAAATGGCCTAAGGGGCTAGAGCTGTTGCAAGATATCTCAGTGCTTGAGGGAGGATTATTTAACTCCAGCTGTTAGACTGGGCCTTGACAAGTGTCCACCCATTATCCCCCAGCTGAGATCTGACATAATTCTGGCTACCAGAGCCTTGCTCTGAGGAGTAAATAGAGGGCTGCTCAGGAGCAGGTATGGCAGAAAACCATGTGGCTGGCGAGGTAGCCACAGGGCAACTGAGAAAGGTTTCACTAACTGATGTCAGTGGAGGGTGGTTTGAGCAGCAGACTGCAGGAAGCTGGCATTTGGTTAGCTACAAGGAATAGCCTGCCCTGTGTCTTGTCCTGCCATCTCAGCAGCTCTGAGGGAGGTGCTTCCTCCCAAATGTCTGAGCTGCCTCCCATGAAAATTTAATCTTCAGAAGATGTCCCACCTCTTCTGTCTGGAGCTGACCTCAGCTGAGTTAGGTATTCCTGCTGCCTCGCTTGTGCCAGGCTGCTGGAGTGTGCCTGAACCACAGCTCCCACGTGCTCTTGCAAGCAAAGCTGGACCAGCACCTGAGTCAGGATGCTCAGCTCCACAGACCATGGTGCGCTGCCTGTCCAAGACTCGGATGCTTTGGTGCCTGGGGAGAACCCTCCTCCAGACTTCAGTGAACTTGGGCACTCCCTGCTTCAGGTGGATCACGCGGCCAAGGTCTAAGACCCCTGTTACCCTGCTGGCTGTGACAGCTTTCAGCCTTGTCCCAAGGCTGTTTCGGAGCTGTTCCACCCCCCATTTTCCTCCCTAGCCCTGTGCAGACAGCATACGTACGGAGATGGCGTTGATGTCGGACTCGTGCCCTGAGAAGGTCTGGCGGCAGGAGCCCTCCCGCACGTCCCACAGTTTGGCAGTGGCATCACAAGCCCCGGAGATGAAGAGTTTGAAGTCAGGGGAGACGGCCAAGCTCATGCAGTCTCCAGTGTGACCAATGAACACAGTTTTCTGCTGCCCCGTCTCGATGTCCCAGAGCGCGCTGCAGGAGAGGAGAAGAGAGGTGAGGATGTCTCAGAGCCAGCCCAGGCAGAGCAGACCCACAGCCAGGATGAAGAGCTGTCCCACTCGCAAGCAAAAGGAGGGAAGCCATGGCTACTGCATGGGAAAATGGGTGAGAGCATCCCTGGAGTCAGCTGTATACAACAGGAGATATCTTCACAGCTGTTGTTGGCAATACCTTTGCCAAAACAGAGACTAAGGCTGGGGGTGTGTGAGGTTTGGCATATCCTCGTAAATGTAACAGCTGAAGGGAATACTGAGAGATTGTAAGAGGGACGCAAACACCAAAAAATAGCAAGCAGCTGAAAAATGTCTTCTGTGTCTGTCTTGTAAGGTGCAAAGCTCTTGTTCAGTGGGATCCCACACCACAGCCAGGGAAACAAACCCTGTGTAACCCTGATCTGTGATGGAAATGCCACATTTCCTTAGTCAAAAGGTTCTTCCAAAGCAGGTATTGGGATGGGGTGGGGTGAATAAAGACTCAGGACTGTTCAGAGTCACAGCACAGCGAGCCCTGAGAACCAGGAACCAAAGGATGAAGGCACTGCCTCTGCAGTGTCTCTTGCACAGAAGGCAAGACTTGAGAAGTGGAGAAGGTATGGGTGCTCCACATAAAATTAAAACTCTTCTGTCTGGGTATAAATGACCCTGTTCATTGTGAGAACTGTTGACATGGTCCCTACTGCTTGACCTGGCCTCAGCTGAGGAAAGAAGCACCTGTTCTGCCAAGGGAGGAAGAATGGATTTGACTTCCTAGGTGCTCCACGTGGCTTCTCCATGTAGGCATAATTCCTCCTGAGATAGTGGAGTGCTGAAGAGCACAAGGACTGCACTTGCTGCTGTGCTAAGAGCAGAGATCCTGTCACCAGGATGCAGGAGGGAGCACTCACCATGTGGTATCTCCAGAGCTAGTCACGATATTGTTGTCATCAAGGAATCGGCAGCAGGAGAGGTATCCTGGGAAGCAGGAACAAGCAAGTGTGAGAAAAGGGGCAGGGACAGAAGGGTGAAGTTTGGAAGCAGGGGCACCCACTTGCAGGCAGGCAGAGCACACACCTGTATGGGCTGAGAGCTCCCTGCTCACTTTGACGTTGCCTTCACGAGACTTGAGGCTGTAGATGGAGCACATGTTGTCAAGGCCTCCACAGGCCACAAAATTGCCAGAGGGGGCATAGGCACAGGTCATGACCCAGGAAGAACGCAAAGGGATGGCATGAACCTGGAAGGACCAGAAACCGTGTCAGGGTCAAGGACACCAGCTCCGAGGGGACCCACTCCAGCATCCCTGTTTGCAGACTCCTACCTTGTTAGTTGTGTATGTGTCCCACACAATCAGTTTCCCATCTTGTGAGGCACTGACCATAAGTCTGTGAGAGAGGAACAAGATCGTGTTAGTGGCTTTCTTCCCATCAGAGCCTTCCCGCCCCTCACACCCGTGTGCTGTCCTGCTCCCAGCAGATCAGCAGCAGCGCTCTCACTTGGAGTCTGTGGACCAGTGCAAGGCGTAGATCTTGGCCAGGTGTCCCCGCAGGGTCCTTCGGGTCCGCATCTGGATGCGTCCAACCACCTCCATTCCAGACACAATCTAATGAAAGAGTGGAGGAAGAGAAAGAATTTGTCTTGGACTACCATTGCTGCTTTCTCTGCCTCCTAGCTCCTTCCTGACTGGACAGAAGCCCCTCAGAGTGGTGCTGGCTTGCCCAGGCAGCCCTGTCCCTTACCTGAGCAAGCGTTGTGTCTGCACAGGCTTTCCGGGCATCCTGGAAGAGACAACAGCAGATGAGACAGATTAAAAACATGTGGGGAAGGCAGTGACAAATGAAATTTGGAGTCAATGTCTGAGGGCTACTAGAAGTAGGAACTGTGGCTTTGCTGTGTTTGGATTGTGGCCGGCACAGGGGGAATATCTGTCTGTGATCAGGGCACCTTGACACCAGTCAATTGTCAGGAAGGTGAGCCAAAATTTGCTCAGCATCCTGTTTGCTGTGCTACACCCTTTCCATAGACCCTCCCACCTGACAGAACAGCAGCTGTCTCACAGACAGAGGAGATCCTGGGGATTCACTACACTCGTGGGACCCCTGTCCCTGTTTCTCTCCCTTTCCCCCACCATGGTGGGAAGATCTCCATTAGCATCTAAAGGGCTGTGGAGAACTGCACAGGGCTACAAGAACGTAGATGGAGAAAGCCCAACTCCAGCTTGTGGCTGAGGAGGAAAGTTTGGGCATGCACTGGGGGGGAGTGGGGGTAGACACGCTCTCAGCAGCTTCATGATTGTTGCCAGCATTACCGCAATCTGCTTCTTCAGCTGCTCAGCCTCCTGCTTCATCTGTTCCATTTCCCCCATCTTTCTGACCTAGGGGTGGCTCCTCCACGTGGGGCAGCCTGGATTCTGGGGAGACAGATCAAAGGAGAGAGGTGTGAGTTAGATAGGACACCAGTGTGAGTGCTCAGCTGTGGAAATGCAGGTATTCTGACAAAGGATTGGTGACCATTTCTTGGCTGAATACTCAGTAATATCGTGCTGTATCTGGCCACAGCCCTTAGCATTTGGGAAGATTGTGCTGGGCCTGGTCAGAGGTCCATTTTGTCTTGGATCCTGCTTACACATACATGTACGGAAGCTAAAGAACTCCAGAGCCTCTTGCTGAGGTTCTGGCCACACCTGTCCACTCATTTTTAACCTCTCCATTCCAAGCTCTGGCTCCCCTTCATCAGCTTCTCCCTGTTCATGGCCAAGCTGTCCATCTCAGCTCCAGGAGGAAGAAACTTGATGGGGGGAGCCCACTGACTATTTTCCACTGTTCGTCCTAAGCCTAAAACCTCGCCAGGCAGGACCAACCAACTCTCTGAACACCAAGGAAATCTACAGGGCTGCTGAGGTGCTCTCTCAGGGCTAGGGCTCCCTTCCAGTTTCACATCAAAAACCAAACCAAAACCAACCAAACAAACAAAAAACCAAAGCAAAGTAACATAAAAAGAAAGGTTGATGCCTAGGGAAGTATCTAAGAATAACATAAGCCAGTAGGGGTACATCTCCTACTTGCCCAGCCCCAGCTTTTCACTGACGTCCAAAGCTAGAGCAGCATTACTGTGTGCAAGTCCTTGATGGACTTCTCTTCTGTGCATTTTTCCACACCCTTTTTGTGGTGATGTGGCCCATGCCAAGCTCAGCCTCCTCAGTACCCCACGGTGATGACTTCCACAGCTGGGTGGCAGGCTCTGCAAAGAAGTTCCTGCTTCTATCACTTCCTGGTGGCACTAGTTCCACTTGACAGTAGCTATATTTTGAGTTGGAAGGATCAGCAAACAACTGGTCTCTATTCACCTCTGCATCACTCGGTTTTTATACATCTTTGTCATACCCGTCCCTTTTCCTGAGTGCAGAGCAAACTTAGTCATTCCTCCCGTGTAAGCTGTTATGTCCTATTATCTCTGCTGCTCTGTGAGCTTTTCTTCAGTTTACAGAGCAGAGATGACACGTTTTTGCAGGGAGAGCAGGGAGCCAGAATTGTAATCCATATTCAAGATGCAGGTGCACTGTATCATTATACAAAATCTCTGTTTTGTTCTCTCTTTCTTTTTATGTGCACTTAAATCTTCACCAGTGATTCTAGCATCTCCCACTTTTGTAGACAAACGTGATCTTTAATTGCTCCAACATTTCACCTGGATAGATGTGTGTCCAGATGTGCTCCAGGTGTTGCCCAAGAAATGTTCCAGCAGCATCTGCAGAATTTCTCCTAGTTCCTGTGAGTCACATCACTTCCATCATCCCTGCTGCCTGAAGGCCTCATTTCCTCTGGTCAGTGACGCTTTGTGTCCTTCCATGCCAGACTTGCTCTCTTGCTGTGGGCAAGCACATCCAGACAGCTCCCAAGTCCCACCTTTGCTTGCAGCTTGATAGAGCACTTTGAGTTTCCTTTAAGAATTCCTTCCCTTGAATGTCTCCACGGCTTTCCTTGGATCCCCCAGGCACAGTGAGTTTTTGCTTGTTCAATGATTCCTGAGGCATGGCTTTGAGTGTAGGAAAGAGAACGAGATACAGGTTTCCCCTAGCTCCTGGGAGGCCATCCCAGCAGGAAGCTACTTCAGGATATACTTTGCAGAGAGAGGCTCGTGCCTGCTGGATCCAAGGCTGGATAGAGGCACAGCACTGCTGAGTGTTCCCTGCTCGCTGCCCATGCCCTGGATGGGGCTGGCAGCCCCAGGAAATGGTGAGGGAGAAGGAGGGCAGCACTGCCAGGGCCCAGAATAATGTGCCACAGCCATGGCCTGGGGCTGCCAGCCTCAGCACCTGAGCTGGGCCCATTCCACTGGTTTTTCTTCTCTCATTCCAACAGAACAGTGATATGGGGGGCTCCTCCCAGCAAGGATGCACAGCTGCACCTCATTGAGGGACCCTGGCCATGGAAGCCCACCTCCATGCACTTCCCCTCCTTTGGGAAAGGGCTGGCATTCCACTCCACCTCTCAGCTGACTGACAGAGCGGGGAGATGCTGGGGAAGGCCTTGCAGCTTTCGGTCAGAGGCTGCACATCCTCCTTTTGCTGGGGTGTTTGCCCCTCACTTTCAGTGTGCAGTCAGGCTGCAAGGCTCCGTCCAGCTCTGCTCACAGCCTACAGCACACCAAGCAGCACACCTGAACTTCCAGCCACCCTGTGCAGCCAGCCCTACCACTGTGGCCCACACTTTACACTTTTCCAGTGTCCCTTAAGACTGATCCATTGACCCTAAGCATTGGATTGCCTTTTCCTGCTAGGTAACCTCCTCCCTCTGACTCCTTCCAGCCTCCTTTGCTTGGTTCCCAAGTTCTTCAGGCTGTTTTTTCATATACATTTGGCTCTCTGAGATCACTGTCCATCCACCTGCCCTAATTTTTCTTTGTAGACTTCTGGGTTTTGCCCACCCAGACGTGCACAGAGATGGGAACCTTGTTCTCCCTTCCTTCCAATTTCTGCTCCCAGTGAAGCTGGCTGTACACATCCTCCTCATTACCCATGGGATCCCAGTCTTCCTTTCACTGCTCCTGCTTTTTTGCTGCTCTCTTCCCTTCTCTGGTTGTTTCTCAACTCTGGCACTAGCAAGGGAATGCCAGTTCACTGCTCTGTAAAGCTGCACAACCAGATGAGGGGCTTTCGGAGCCATAGGCAGATCAAGCAGCAGGGGCAGGATGTCGAGGACGGATAAAAAGGGCTAAATATAGAGAAGGTGCAGCTCAGGACTGTGCCCCAACCTTTAAATCCCTCTGAGGGAACACTCTAAATGAAGTTGGGAATTGTTCTCAGCCTCAGAAGGACAAGGAGCCACAGATGAGTGATAATAATAGTTCCATCTTTGCCTGTCGCCTCCATCCGTCACGTCCCAGTGCAATTTGTGGAGAGTGAGCTGTCCCCAGCGTAGGGCAGCTGCCTCCCTGGAGGACCAGGGCAGGTGTGCAAAAGAGCAGCTCATTATGGTCATGTAAATTTAGGGCAGGAAATGGGAGGAACAAAATGGGGGAAGAAGAGAGGAAAGGGAAATGGAGTTTGGCCAAGGCATGTTCCTGCCTTGACCAGCAGGACCTTAGGGATACGCATTTCTTGTGGATCTAAGGATCAGCTCACAGTTGCTCATGGTGGTTGCCCAGGCTAGTTTTAATGGGAAAGGCTTCTAAATGGCACACACTTGGTGCTTTCTGGAAATAAGGGCTCTTTCAGGTGAATGCTAAGCAGTAGAGGAAACCAAGTCCTTAGGTACCTTTGAAAGAAACAATTCACCACTCTCAGCACAGCTACTGACAGGAGGACCTTGGCAACAGCACTGCTCCAGAGTTTTGCCTCCTGCAAGCACCACCAGGAGCAAGCAGGGCACAGCCAAAGAGAGCCTGGGCTTGGCTGGTTCATGCCAGCCCTGTTCTGAGCTCTGCCTTAGCTGTGCTCATCCAGTTCACAGCTCTTGACTTCGGAAATCACATTTCATTTCTTCTGCTCTCCAACATGACAGTTCTTTCCCCTCCTGCCTTTTCTAACAAATTTCTTGCTGCAGCACTCCTGTCTGTGGGCAACCAAACCCATCCTGAGTCCTTTGGTGTCTGCTCATAGCACATCAATTGCCTCTGCTGTGGTGCAAGACGGAGGGGGATCTGGAATCATCCATCTTCTGCCTTTTGCTGCCACGCCCTGACTTTTCAGAGCAGTGGCCACATCCCTTGCACAATGCCATGGAGATGGCCCAGCATGCTCCCTGAGGGCTGTCCCTCCAAGTCACCTGCATCACTCCCTGGTGGGGATAAGGATGCAAGTAATGGGTGGGGAAAAAGAGGTAAGGTGAACCCTCTTATTATCTGCTCCTGGGTAGCTTCCCCCACGCTGCAGGAGTGGTCACTGAAATGTTGGGAGAGGACTGTGAATGGAAAAGGGAAAGGGACAAGAAGGACTCAGTGGGAACGGGCAGCATCCCTGGGTCTCTGTGTAATCCCTGACTAACTTTGGAGGCTCGCCCTGGTGACCCTGGGCTCCTTGCAGAGCCGGATACAGAGATGATCTCTCTCTCCTGTGATGGAGATCAAAGGTCAGGGTAAAATTACCCTGCTCTGCTCCTTGCTTTCTCAGGGCTCCTTCTCCAGCCAGAACAGCAGCCAGCTGCACAGAGGTGTGCACAAGGTGCACTGGGAGAGCAGGGCTGTATGCAGGCAGCGAGTGCCAGGTCCATCAGGGGAGGTGTTACCCTCCCGCTCCAGTCTGGAAACTGGTGAGATTTACCTGCCAAGTGGAGAACAAGCAACCCCATCCCAGTGCAAAGCCCCCTCATCATTGCAAAGACTCCTCAGTGCTAACCCCAACTCCTTTCCACGATCTTACCCTCCCTCATCCTCTGATGAGATGAGCCCTTGCTCAAAGGCTCCCCACATAAGCACTCCAAGAAACTCAGGGTCCCAAATGCCAGGTTCACCAAGGTGACCTCATGCATCGCAAGGCAGCAAACTTACCGGGATCTGTAGAGCAAGGTGGGTTGCAGTCCCCTCTGGATGGGGCCCTCACAGCCTGCCTCCCTTGCTGAGAATGGCTCCTCACTGCCCAAAAGTCCCTTGCACCTCTGCAGTCTCCAGTCAGTCCCGTTTGTCCACCCAGCGAGTCCCTTGCTCCCTCTCTGCTCCTCAGCCTCTCCCAGGACTGATCTCCCCATGGGGAGCTGGAAGGCTGTGGACGGGAGGGGTTGGGGGAGGGCTGATTCCAGGAGCAGCGTCAGGCAAATTAAATCAGACACCAGAGACTTGGGGAAATCGGATTGGGACGTAATGCAAAGCAGGTGGATGGGGAGGGGTGAAAAGAGAGAGTAGCACACTGCTCCTGAAGGGAAAGAAACAATCCCAGGCGGATTTGACTCCCTCTGTTTATATCAGCAACAAACTAATAAAGTGAAGATTAGCCAGAACAGCCTAGGATTACCAGCCACCAGGGCAGGGCTTGCTGTACCTCACAGTCACAGGAATTCCTATTTTCCCAGGGACAGCATGCCACTTGTGTCCTGGGCAGGGCGAAAAGAGGGATGATGCCACCAGAGAGGGCCTGCAAAGGGAAAACCAATGGCAGGGTCACCACACCCTCTCTCGGCTGCAAACGGGGCTCTGGATGGGGAAAACAGAACTGGGCACAGGGGCCAGGGGTGGCAAAAGATTTGGTGGCATGCCTTTTGGCAGCCACTTTAGTGGGATGCTGCACGGGGATTATCTTGGCCTCAATCTCTTTTAATCTCTCCCGCGGCTTTGGCCCAAGCCTGAGATAAATACCTTTTAACGGATCTCATCTGACGTCAGGAGGCCATCAGTCTAATCACCCAGGCCACCTTTGGGCAAAGCAAGCCAGAGATGTGGACACTGGCCCCTCACCCCTCAATGTGTCCTCATCAACCAGGAACCCCCCAGCAGCCCCCACAAATCATCGGGATGGACATGTGGGTGCTGGGATGTGACAGGCCCCTCGCCAGGGAGAGGGAATTTGAAATGCACACAGTCAAACATCTTCCTGTGACCCTGGGGAGGGGATGGGAAGCAAAAGGGGCTGCCAACACAGGTTTCCCAAGCCTGCATGTTGAGAAGCATCAGGATTCAGATTAAGGAAGGACTTCCCTTTCCAAGGAGCAGGGGCCCTGTGCCACTCACCCACCTCTTACACCACTGGCCCTGGCTCTAAAGATTTCTTCCCCTTGAACTGTGCTTGGGGTATCCATGCACAACTCATCAAGGCTTGAGTATGTCATGACCACAGATTGATCTCTTGCTCTAATGCTTCCCAGGAAAAGGGTCACTGCTCTTTTAGATACTCCATATCCACCCCATTCAATTCCTATTTGGCTACAATATAATCCCATCTCGGGACACTAATCCCCTGGGCAGTGACAGCAGATTGCCTTTCTATCAGGGTAGAAAATGATAAACAAAATCTCTCTTCTGCTTTCAGGGACAATTTAGTGCATGGAGAGGGGAAAAAAATGAAAACAAAAAAAAAAAGAGAGGTCTTGCTACAGGGAAACTTGATTGTACAGTGCTTTTTCTTAAAGGCACTCCTCATCCTTTCCACATTAGCCACGTCACAGCTGACTTTCTCTCTTGCTCTCCCTCACTGGAAGTAGCTGACATCTGGGTAAATACTCTGTTATCTTTCACTGAGGGCTCAATCCCCTCCCATCATTTGTTAATTAAATTTCAATCAGAAACAAGTGTGCACATCTCCCTGGTATACAGACACAAGCTCCCATCAATATCTGTGTCCAGCATTTGGCTTTTATTCCATCTATTCACAGTCCCTCACCTTTTCTGTCCCAGGTCACTCTGCATGTTCCTGGAGTTTGCAGGTGCTTAGGAAATTCAAAGGCTTTAGTTTTGAGTTCCTGAATGTGAGACAGCCCTCACTGAAAGACTCCAGGCTCCTCCTCCCCCTCTCACATTTAGCCCTCAACAGCCAAGAAGTTGGCACTGAGAGGAGTGGGGTGAGAAGACCTTGTCTTCTCACTTCTTACTTCTGAGTGAGACAAACACGGTGAGGCAGTGAAGAAAGTTCCTGGTGTCACTGTGTCTTTCTCCCATTTTTCAGCTGCTGGGACACCACAGAGAAGAAAGCTGCACCCCTCCCCATCGCTACGGCTCTACCACACTAACACACTGCCCCAGGCCTCCGTGGTCCCGGTCCTCCCGTGACCTGCCAGGCCATGGCGTGTGACAGTCCACAGAGCCCCATGCATCAGAACTCATCTCTGGCCCGTAGCACCTTGGGGTGCTGCTTCCTGTCTGAGCCAGGCTTCTGTCTCTGATCTGCAGCCTTGGTTGCACGGCTGGGAGCACCAGGCTCTGAGGAGGATCCGCTGCTGCGATCAGTTCCCTGATGTTTATCTCCATCAGGCTGCTCCTGCTCCACGGCTCTCTGCTCCATCAGCTCCTCTGCCTTCACCCGTTCCTGCAGCCATGGAGACAGAAATTATGTGAATCCTCCCTGCTGGGGTCTCGACGAAACACATCCACCCAACTGCTCCAGAGCTCAATCCCCCTTTGCAGGACCCATCCCTGGCTGGCCCCTCCACCAGACACCCTGTCCAAGGGCAGCCCCAGCTGCTGCACCATGCCCTGCCCCAAGGGAAAGCCCAAAAGCTGTTCCTCAGTGGGATTTGAGCTCACTTGGAGGCACTTGTATTTGTTCCCTCACCTGCTCAGCGTGCTCCTGGGAGTGCGTGTACCACAGGGCAATGGCGCAGCGCCTTCCGCGCCTCACGGCCCACACGCCGTGGGGGTTCTCCTTGCCAGAGCTGAAGGCTACCAGCCTCCCACACTTGGGATGCACCTCGGCCTGCCAGGAGAGAGACAAGAGACCGTGAAGGCAGCAGACCCCCTGCTCTGGAGTACACAGTCCTGCAGAGGTGACACTGCCTCTGGGAATGTGGAGGAGCAGAGCTGTGAGGCATCTACACCAGTCTATAAGCCAGGCAGGCCTTGGAGAGGGACAGAGAGAATCAGTGGGACAACAAAGGTTGTCACAGACACCCACAGACTGGAAGAGCTTGAAAAATCTCAGCTAGGAAAGAGTCAAACTCTCCTCTGTCTGAGATTTGCCTCAATTTCCCTTTAGCTGCCCCTATTTGAATCTGCCACTGCACCAGCACTGGATTGTTTGTGGAGTGGTGGGATCCAATAACCAACCAGTTTCCTCCTGCCCAGACTAAGTCTTGCCCTCAGTCCTCTCTCCCTCTTTTGGCCAATCCCAGACTTACTGTGACAGTCACAGTGTCCATTTCAGTGAAGAAAAGGCCTCCACCTTGGAAGTCATCATTGAGGTAGAGAATGCCACTGTGGACAAAAAGAAAAGAGTACATATGTATGGTGAAGCTTATTCCTCCCAGGTGCTTCCCCACTTGTGACACTCCTTGTCACAAGTTCAAAAGCAAGTAGACCAGTTAGCAGGAGAATCCATCTGAGGGTGTTAAATACAGCAGTGCCTAGCTCAGGGGAGTCCCTGAGCTGCAAGCCACAGGAGGCTGGGAGAGTATGCCAGGGAATTAGCTCTACACGCTTGTCCCGTTTTATTTTGGTTTGTTCTTAATCCCCTGCAGCATGCATCTGTGGCACTGCTGTGACAATGCCCTGGGCTTCATAGACTTTGTTTCTAACTTGTTGTTTATGTCTCAAGGTTGGGAATAATCCAACTCCTGGAAGAGGAGACTGATCAGCAAAGAAAGCCATGTCTTAACAGCCAAGGAATTTCAGGGTAACAACAGAATTGGAATGATCGAAAAGGGGCCTGGTGCATCTAGAAAAGAAAATTAAACCAAGAAACTTCTTTACTGAAGTTATACAAAAAGAGAAGTAGTGAGGCCACTGTACAGCACGGTGAAAGAACAGACCACAAACTGCCCGGGTTCTTCTTGGTATTCAATTAAGCTGACAGAAAACATCAGAGGAACAACAACAAGAGGCTCTTAATGGGACTGAGAGGAAGAAATACAAATGAACACTGTGGTTGCTGAAGCAATGTTAAGGACATAAGGGCAGTGAGAGGATTACCAGCCCTGGAACCCAGGAAGTTGTAGCTCTTCTGCCACAGGGTTTTCATAAGGCTGTGAAGCCAGAGTGGTGACATGAGTGGAGAAAAGCAAGAACAGCTCTCTCATGTCCAAAGGGACAGGAAGGTAGGGATAATGGTTGAAGCATAAACAGTGTTATCCTGACCTCAATAGTCTGCAGGGCTTTAGACTCCATTTCTGAGAAGGGTAATTGGAGGACAAGAAGCAAATGGAAAATGGTCTTAAAATATAACATGGGGGTACTAAAAGGAGATTGGGCTAACCACATAATGTTTGAATGTTTGAAAAAATAGTGAATTTTCCAAGGAAATACTACATGCTCAATCTCAGCAGTTTGGACTCTGGTAAGAGGACTCAGAATGGCGCCATGGGGGAAATTTCTAATGAAAAGAGAAGATGGAGATGAGCATGAACAGCACACAGGGAGCAGGGCACCGCTGACACCCAAAGGAACACTGTGCACCCAGAGCAGCATCACTGGAACTCCTGGGCCCCTGGGTCCAATCCTGCTCAATATTATCATTAATGCCCATAGCACAGATTCCACAGGAAAGATCCAGGAAGTTTGGAACACGGGCACTTCATTCAAAAGGACACTGCAAGAGCTCAGCCCTTAAGCTGGTTGGGCAGTCACAACCCGAGCTGCAAGAGGACAGGGATACTCCCAAAAATAGCTCAGTGGCATAGATCCCAGGAAGGTATTTTATCATCCATTCAAGCGGAAGTCAGAGAACCCAGGGAGCAGTGGAGGGACAGGACAGCTTTCTCACAGGAAGGACAGAGATCTAACTGGTTACATGACAAGGTCTGGTAACTTTACAGTCTGGTTATACCAAGTAAACACTGGTATCTGAAGGGAAACAACTCAATGATAACAGAATTCCCTCTTAGTTCCATATCTTCATCGTAGCTGCTTAGAGATTGCTGCTCTGGATACAGCTACCATTCAAAGAAAAGACAAGTAAAATTTCTGGATGCTCAGGGATGAGATGGCAAGTAGGAAGATGGCAAGGAATCAGCTGTAGTGAACTGA